TATTGGTCGGCAACGAAGTCTCTATTAGAGACTTGGAGTAGAAAAGCCAATTGTCATACACAACATTAAAATTATTTTTTTAAATTTAATTAAAACATTAAGATAGATAAATAATTTTTGAATTTTTATATGGATATACAGGGGGTGGGAGGGGTTGGAAATATTATAAACTTGACAATAAACGTAACGTTATATATGAAGGGTTTAATGCATTGAAATATTGGGAAAACCATACGATAGCTATCGTATGGATTGACTGCATTTGCATTTGAATTTGATTTCAAACCAGTCGTAAAATTGTATGTATTTTTGTGCCATTTTTTAATTAATTATTTTATTAACTATAGACTGAAAGCCAACCACTATTAAAAATGGGTGAGAAACTATTAGGTTCTGGAAGTGCACCACAAAGAACAAGTTTGATTGTTTGGATTTAAAAAATAGATGGCAACGCGGTGGATAAATACCGTGTGACACTTAAACATATACACTATACGATTTTTTCCAACGGCTCGTTATGTCTAAGACATCACTTACTTAACGTAGATTATTCATTTATTAAACACTTGGCAACATTATAAGTTATTTTTAAAATTTCTACTTTTACATTATGTTTTTATTATAAAAATTTCCAATTTTACGTTAGCCAGCAAAACAGAACTGGTATTCAAACGATTAAATCTACTCAAACAACTTTATTTTATTATTTGTCATATTAACGTATTAATTAAAATATTATTGCGTATATTTGCGTATTAAATGCTACATACACTTTTTATGTTATAATTTATTCAAAATATATTCAGTTGCTTTGCTCTTAACGTTTTAATTTTTAATTATAAAAATTTTTATTTTCAATTCATTTTTAACATTACGGGAGAGTTTAGGGAAAATAATTTGTTAAATTAGAAAATTATTGACTATTTATTATTTGGATTATTATTATGACGAGCGAATCGTTTATTGTAAATGGTTACCCAATTGGGTACGATAGGTACGGCACCGGCCCGTCACCTGTGCTCATGATACCCGGTGCTCTCGGTATACAACTTTTACTTAATATACTGAATTATTTTTAAAATGTTATAATAACAATGCTTTGTATTGAAACGTAAGGCACGAGTAAAACTGATTTTTACGAACAGTTGGAAGGGGACGACCAGTTAGATCAGGACAAATTCACCATCATCGCTGTGGACCCGCCCGGTTGGGGCCGATCCCGACCACCCGCTCGCAAATATGACGACAATGTCTTCAATAACGATGCGGACTGTTATTATGAACTCATGAAAGTAATAACTGTTAAATATTATGTAGCAACTACTGTAAAGTAGATACTGTTAATTAAACATTACGGGAAATGCCAAATGTTAATCATTATACATTATAATTTAGCATTTAGGTTTTGTAAGATTTCACGTGATCGGTTGGTCTGATGGTGCGATAGTAAGCATATGGATGGTCTGCAAATATCCCGGTGCTGTCATACGAATGGCAATTCACGGCGGTTTACACACTGTATATTCAAAGACCATATCTGTATTGAAGTCGACCCGTAATGTCGAGGGTTGGCCTAAAGAGAGACTCGACGGCTGTCTTCGCGCGTATGATAGCAAAGAGGAGTTACAGAAACTATGGGACAGACACTTGAAGTTTGTCGACTATTATAACGTATATTTCCCGCGGGACCCCAATATTAACAATTATCCAAAAGTCAACTGTCCCATTCTTATCATGCATGGCGATAAGGTATGTATAGTAATCGTTGCATTTTACATTAATATAATACTGTGAAGTAAAATATTTATGTATAAATATAATTATATTAAAATTAATTTAATATTAATGAATTTACTTTCAGGACGCGCTTACTACAATAGAGCACCCTGAATATTTTGTTAAGCACATAAAGTCTGCCCGATTACACCGATTCCCCGCCGGTAGCCATGACTTGCACTCTCGATATGCCTCGACTTATAAGAGTCTTGTCGAAGAATTTCTGCTCAAATAAAGCTTTGGATCATTTATATCGACAAACATTTCTTATAAAGTGGCGAACATTTATTTTTTATAACTAATAAAAATAAATAAATAAATAAATAACTAAATATTTAGAATTAAAATAAAAAATGTAATAATTAAATATCCAACCAATTGACGCCATATAAAATAATTGACATTTAATTTTATATGATTATTTACATATAACAACTGGAAAGTATTAACTATTACTAATATAACGGGTTATTACTAATTTGGTCTTTATATAAAACTAACTACCAGAGAACTACTACATTATAAACTACATAAGAATAATACTACATTATTAAGGTATCTTAAAATAATTTTTTCAATTTATGAACTTGGAAACCGAATTTCATTATAAGTTATGATTAAAATTAACATATATTTCCACTTTTAAATAAGAAACTAATTAAAAAAGTGCTAAATTCGTTGAAATAGTATTACTAAAATTTCCAAATATATTTTCAATGCTTTTAAAAAATAAATTAAGACTTTTTTAACAGTAGCACACAAAACATTTATTTTTAATGTATTTTTAATGTATTTGCATATTTATTGTTTGATTGTTTTACTACTAGTACTGAGTTTTAAATAATTAATTATGACAATTATTGTACAATNTTGGTACGAGAGGTTCGGAAGTGGACCCAAACCAGTGCTTCTCATACCCGGTGCTATAGGTGTGTGTGTTTTATGAGACAAATATTAGTCCATAAAAGTTTATTGTCTTCATGACTAGAGTTTTAAAAATTAATTGTATTGTTATAATAATAAGGGACGGGAAGAACGGATTACTGGGAACAGGTGGAGGGCGAGGACGCTCTGGACTTGGATGCCTTTACCCTGATTGCGGTCGAACCCATGGGTTGGGGCCGATCGGGTCCACCCGCGCGACGCTATGACATCAATATGTACAACAAGGACGCAGACATCTATGAGACTCTCATGAAGGTGTTTACGATTACTTAACTAATTAAACACAATTACTTATTTTCAAATAGTAATAGAAACTTTCACCTTAACTGTAAAAGTAAATTGAACATGTTTATTTTGTATAGCATTTGGGATATAAGCATTATTCGGTGATCGCGTGGTCAGACGGAGCAAAGAGTGGCATAACTCTAGCCATCAAATACTCGGATTCAGTAAACGCTATGGTATTAATCGGAGCGTCCATTTGCGCGTCCAGACAAGCCGTTCAGTTCCTCAATACCATTATTAAGACAGAGGATTGGAGTGCGGATCGACTTAACTCTTACCTCAGGAGTTATGAAAGTCGTGAAAAGATACAGGACTTGTGGACCAGATATGTTAAGTCTACGGAATATCACGACCAGTACTTCGGCAATGATATGTTTGGCAAAGAAGGCTATCGACAAATCAAATGTCCAGTTATTATCATATTTGGCGAAAAGGTATTTGTTTTGTATATAATTTACTGAATTTTAATCTAAATTAAGTGTAATTTAAATAATGATAAGTAAAAATGTAAATTTAGGATCAAATCACAGATACTGAACAGTGTCTACACCTAAACCGACACATCCGGAGCTCAAAACTAATGCGTTTTCCAACCGCTGGACATGACTTTCACCAACGATTTACCTTAAAATTCAAGATTATATGCGAAGAACTCTTCTCTAAAGTGTAACACAAATACAGCCAACAATTAAATGCAAAATCTTTAGCCGTTTATTTGCACGCAATGATAGGTTTAATGGTTTGATTAGTTATTTTATAGATAAATAGACCATTTTATGCATAAATTACAAACGGATTAATAGTCGAGTGCTATTATACTAATCCAAATATAATCTATACTTATTTTGACCTAAATTTTGTTTCAAATCAATCAAAACTTTTAAATTTATGTTTAATATTTGCGATATTTTTTGCATAAAAATCAAACGTGAAATTATCTTAATATTTATGATTAAAAACAAATTTCAAATTATATATTTATATTTAAATTAAAAATTATTTCACTATGATAGTTGATTATATGTTGCATTATAATTGTGGTTTAAAAAATTATAAAACATTTAACATTATGCAACTTGTAATACAAAAATAACTTTAATATTCATAAATGTGAAGTATACAAACATTGCAAGTCTATATTTACAGACTATAAATTATAATATTTAACACCTAAATATTAATACAACAATTAAAGCAAAATACTCAAAACTTGTAATAATCCTATTATTTATAAATATTTTTATATAAAATTAATTTACGTTAATAATGATTATGATTATCAAGATCATTCTATTGTACTGGATCGTATATGAAACCTGTATTTTCAATAATATTAATAATAAAAATTTTGCACCTAAAAATTTTGGCTTTGATGTATTTATTAAATTCATTGATAATAGAAACCAAATTCTAATTCTTACTTTATATTGTACAGACAATAATACTGTACAAGGAATAATACAATTGTACAATCTTTGTATTTATATCAACCCTAGTTGAGACCTATTGGCCGTTTTTTACAAACTACCGACAGATCAAAACTATATGTTGTAACGGTTTATATACCCGGAAGATAACAACAAACTCAAGAGTGGATGGACTAAGAATTCAAGGAAACTGTTATCTAGTTATTGAATAATATTATCAATTATTAAAACAATAATAATATTTGTTTTATTTTTAACTTATAATAATATGTAATTTTAAAGTTGTCTAATACTATGAAATTATTAGTAGTAAACTTTATTGAAATAAAATTATTGCAAACAATTAATGAATGTTTATAGTTTAATTATTAAATGAAATAAGCTAACATAACATGATTGTTTAATATTATTAAATAAAATAATATTAAATTAATAACAATGTTTATAACATTTATACACATTTTTATCTGTTGTGTCTGCATTTTGTTTATATTTAACCAGTTTATTTTATTTTTATAAATAAAACTTGCATGTAATAAAAACAATAATATTATTAAAAGATTATCTGTATTAAAAGAATAATTTCACCTTAATATCGGATTTGTAATCAAATTAGTAAAACTTCTACTATAAAAAATAACCCTAGTTTTAATTGACTCTATTTATTTAAGTCTCGATAACATTATTATTATTCAGAAAATGAATTAATAATATTAATTCTTGCATTTATATTAAAAATAACAAAAAATCTTGTAATTAATGAATATTTTTTTATAAACCAAATTCATATTATTTTTGCATATTTTATAATAAATTTATTTTCCGGTAAGTATTAATTAATATTTATTATGTACGATAATCCAGCCGTCAATCACGTTGAATCATATCAAAAAGTGAACTAGATGTTTTATTTTTATTTGATATAATGTAGAGTTAAAGTAAAATCAATTTGAGTTTTCATAGAGTGGACAGCCGTTTATCAGTTCAGTGTTTATATTATATATTTAATTATAAGTAAGTTTAAAATTGCAGATTAATAGTGGAAATTCATATTTAATAATAATTACTATTTATATATTACTATCTATTGTTTACCATATTTATTAAACAATCATAACATCATCTATTAAATTAGTAAAATGTCTTTATTTTATTTTATATGACTTAATAATGGTTGTTATAACGAGTTATAAATTGATTTTATATTAAATTTAACTGAAAATTTTGAGTAATTACATTGCCAGGATTGATATAAATTAGAAAAAAGTAATTTTATTATGACGTGGTTATTATAGTTTAGGCCTCTAAAGGCCTAAAAATATCAATCAAGGCTATAGCTATTAGCAAAATTCTAACAAAACATTTTGAGTAATAGATATTACTTAAAACATGTAATTTATTTAGTTATTGTTGTGTGAAATGTCTGGCTGTGGAAGTGATTTGTTGGGCACGTCTTCATCGGTCGAAGTGAACGGTTGGACCGTTTGGTACGAGAGGTTCGGTTCGGGACCCAAACCGGTACTTCTTTTATCGGGTGCTATCGGTATGTTATAAAGTTTATAATATAATATAAATACTATTGAATTTTTGT